GTGGTTTCTGCCCCTCCAGCTCCCTCCCTTCTGTACATTAACACACAAAATATATACAGATAGTCAAAAAACAAATAAAATTCAACTGACAACAGCACGCGAACTGATGTGTGCATATTTTCATATATTTTTATCATACACTTCCCTTGGATTTTGTATATATGAATGGGTTAAGTGCACTAATTTATATTGTTTTAATTTATAGGCATTCAATACTGAAGTTCTACAGAAATGAAGTGAAAAATGAGCTTTTTGGGTGTATAGAGTAATTCCAGTGAAGCACGAGGTTAACTAATTGCGCGAAGACATGTGCATTACAATAAGAAGATGAAACCGAGCGTTTTTGGAATCAAATAGACATGTGAATGCTATTCAATGGACTTTAAGAGAGATCTTAATTTCTAGTTTTTTATTATTTCCGTTTATTTTTCCTTTTCTTTAATGAGGACTTAAAGTCCATTAGTGATAGCATTTTAGTGGGGTTTTTATGGTTATTTTTCTTTCTTGAACACCTTCTTGCCGTGGGTTTTATATAAGGAGGTTACTTCTCCTCATTAAGTTAGAGAGCCACCAAAAACAGAACCAAAAATCATATTTTAGATAGGGGTTGCAGCAAGGGAAGAGAGAAGAGCTTTTCTAGTTTCTTTTCTTTTTTAGGGCTACGATGTAGCCTGATCATGAATACTTAATTGCCTTGTGGCATTGTTATTATCAAATTTTTCTACTTTATTGAGTATCTTTAGCTCTTCGTAATGTGCTTGATTTTTATTTAGATGCTTGATCACCATCTAGGTTTAAATTAGGTTGATTTGATGCAAGTTAAAGTAGATGCCATACTTAACTTGGGTTTAGCTTCTTGCAATTGATACCATAAACACCTATTTGTAGATGCCACACAATTAGGGTTTGTGTGATTTTCCAACGATTTCCATAGAGCTTAATGTGTTCTTACTTATTTAAATTCATCTAGATGCCATGGAGGGTTAACATGTAAGGATATTTTTGATGTAACCAAATGCCATGGTTGTCGAATAATTTAGGAAAAATCGATCATCAATATTGGGGAACTAGCATAACATATTAAGGGAATTAAGTAGAATTGGTTACAATGAATTCAGATGCCCTAGGTTTTCTTTTCTTATATTTTAATTTTATTATTTTATGCATTTTTTTAAGTTGTATTTCATTTCAGTTTAATTCAAATCATATCTATCTTTTTTTTTTTTTTTTTTGGTTAAAGCTTCTCAACTATAATTTGTTTCAATTTAATTAGTAAGACTTTTAGATTCAATTCGATCTCTGTGGGACGATATCCGTGCTTATATGCTATACAATCATCTGATTCGTATACTTGCAAGCACTAAAATTCGAGACTTAATGAGTTTAATTTTGGTTATCTAATTTTTGCAACACGAACTTGTTATAATCATCACAAAAACCAAAGTGAGACTTAATAGTTCTTTCGGTCTCTTGACCTCTCTGCATAATCTATGCTCGTGCGGACTCACATTCATACAAGTATATTTGAACCTGAACCAATATATGATTCATATGAACAGTCTTGTTTTATCGATTTTAAATTGGATAGATCAACAATGTATATTGATCTCTGCAGATAATTATCATACGTAAAGAGAGAAGTTAGATGAATAATATTTTATTAGATTACTCTGTACCATTTTAATTAGGTATGCCAACCTTTTTTATCCAACTTATTACTATAAGCTTGATTTGCTCGTAACCATTTTATCAAAAATCCAACAAAGACGGTTTGATAGACTTTTGGAAGAATACATACGGAAAATATACATTGCACGAAGCACTTATGATAAAACGTCTCGTGCTCGTGAGTTTGCTACAATACATGTTAGAGAGACTAGTTATCAATATAGTTTTATCTTCAAACGTATATTCAACCTATTTTTATACAAATGATATTTAGGAAGTGAGAATTAACAACATGACTTTGAATGTAAAGGTAGATTAATTACTAGCTAGTTGGGAATTTAGAGAATTCGTGTCAATTCTTCAAAATGCAGCAAAAGGTTTTTTTTAAGGATTTTGTAATCATAGAGATCACTTGGTTTTCTTTTTAGGATTGGTTTTCTTTTTAGGATGGATTTACTTGACTATATATTTAAGAACATAATCTAGATTTGTAAACAGATTACCAAACAGTTCGGATTGTTTTTCTTTTTGTTCATGTTTCTGTAAACCTAGGAGAAACATGTATATAGGGTTTTTGGAAACCCTAAAATAGTCAAAGAGACAAGGATCATTTCTTACGGTGGCTTTTAGACTAGGCTTAAGTATTGGTCTGCCAAGATCAAGATTTGCAATGTTAATGTGGGTGTTCAATTGGACCCGCATGTCTGGCTGTCTTCCATTAACTTTTATTGTTATTTTGTTGCTATCAATATTACAAATTATTCTTAATTCAATAGTCTTTAAGCTTACATTCTTGACACATGCATTTGAGGGGGAAATTTAAAATTTCTTGAGCAGCAAGCTTAACCATTGACTGGAGGAAGAAGAGGTATTATCAATTGGACATTGTAATTAAAAAAAAAAAAAAAAAGGCAATTCCATAGCTAAAACTAATACCAAGAGAAATGCTAACAACTTTTTTACTTCTTCTGATGTCATGTATACTCTATGAATACTCAGAACTATCTATTAAAATTTTCTTAGTTTTATTTCTTTGTTAGTACAATTAAAAATATTGTTTGTTAGAAAAAAATATATATATTTTTAGTTTTATGTGCTAATGGAATACATTACGTGCTGATGGAATACATGTAGCATGAGGATGAGTGATAAAGTTGAGGTTATTTTTAGCTAAGTCTCATGAAACTCAGTTTTAGTCTCATTTTGCCTCCTGTAACTAAAAGTTTGCTACTTTACTCTCTGAAACTTAAAATTCGCTTCACTTTGCCTCCTGAAACTCGATTTTTATTCCATTTTGCCTTCTTGAAACTCCAAAGTCATCATTTAACAGTATAAAACTCAAAATTACCTTCCAAATTGCCTTAATTCAATTAATTTCCGTTATATGAATTTGATTGTAAATCTCTACTAATTTGAGAAGGCTGCTAGCACTCCCTAATACCAAAAGCATCAACCGTTCCTAAACTTCAGAAACATGATGAAATTATAGAATCTTAGTTGTGAAAAATAAAAGATATCTTAAGGAAAAACACAATTTGTACTGCATTTATATTTTAAAAAAAAAAAAAAAAAAAAAAAAAAGCTCATTGTGATTCATATACAAACAAGTAATTACCATATTGTGACGCTTAGTTGGCATGATTAATGGAATGGAGCTATATTTTAAGAATATGCATTCCATTGTTTGGTTCAAAACTCCAACATAGGATTGGGAATGAAAATTTCATTCCTCTGAAAAATAGGGATGGGGATCCTCAATGTCCCGTGGACATTGGGATAGTGACGTGTTGACTTAGGGCTCGTTTGAAAGTGCTTTAAAATGACTGAAGGCATTTTTAGTTAAAATGTTTTTTAAACCAATCCTTAGTAAAAATCTAAGTGAATCTTAAAAAATCACTTTATGTGCTTCCTGCAAGATTTGGTGCTTCTTCCAAAAAGCACTTAAAGTGCATTTGGAACCCAAATTCAATTTTACGAAAAACGCTTTCAATCATTTTAAAAGTATTTCCAAACAAGCCCTTATACAAGGAAAGTAACAAAGACATTTTATGCATGATGACATAAGGGTCATTATATAACAAGTTAATGGGTCATTATATAACAAGTTAATTCTATCGAAAATTCGACCGAATTTTCTCTATTCATTTTATGCATGACGACAATAAATTCCACAACTTCCCAAACCTCATGAATCTCAGACCCTCCATTCCATGAAATGCATGAAAGAGAATTCAAAGCATACTTAAATAAGTCATAAATACTACTACAAACGTGTAGAAAAGATTCTATAAGGATTCTCTATCCGTTCTTGAACATCAAAGTGTACATGTGAATGAAAGCCGTTCAATTTTTAATTTAACGGGGTCTAATATTTCTTGTTCTGATGTTAAACTTAAATGTGCATTTTTAATGTGCGCCGAAGAATTCTCAAAATTGTTAGAATGACCATTCCATTGTTTGGTTCGAGTCCAATGTCCCAAATTTTTTATCCTGGGCCTTTGGGCTACACACTAAAATTTATATTTTATTGCATTCAATGGTTATATAGTAAATACTGAAATTGATTCTAAAGTTTTTCAACCATCAATTTCTTTCATATTCTCGTTTAATTGCCTAACAATTAGAATAAAGAGAAGGTTAATTGTGTTTTAGTACTACGTGGTTTGCTTGTGTGGACACGCGTCTACTTCTTAATTTTCTTTTGATTTGTTCAATTCAATGGTTAGAAAAGAAAAAGAAAGTATACAAGAGGTAAAATAGATGTGTGGAGACAATTCCAAACCCAAAAACTCTATGATGCTTTGGAGTATAGAATGCTCCAGAGTATCCTCTACTTCGGACTTTCTAACTGTTAAGTTTTGATTTTTGTGTTTTTAGCTAAAGATTTTACAGTCTAGTAATATTTTTTTTAACTTGTAAATGAAAAAGTCTTAGGTTTGATCTCATAGATGACAAGTTTGTTGTTTCACCCCACCTGGACCCAGCAACAATTTCAATATTTGTTCCCCAAATTTTCAATTCGAACGAAAGTAACGTTACAATTGTTGAATTTATCCGATGTCAGTATCACTTTCCCTGACAAAAAGCAATCCAAGATTGTAAGACATTCATGCATCTTCTCAACTATTCTCAACTATTCCAACCAGGCCTGCCTAAACCAAAGAAAAATCTTCGTTACCTTCGAGGAAGAACATATGTCGAATTTTGATTTGTCAGAAAGAAAACGTAAGGAGCCAAGTACTTTTCACGGTAAAATATGACGTGCATAATTGCTCATAGCCAAATTTCAAAAAAATAATTAAAAAACATAAATAGCTGATGCCACAAGCCTCTGTCATCCATAATTCATGTCTGCAATTGCAATCACAAGTATTGGAAACTTAATTTCTCACTAATGGATGAAGATAGAATTTACATTAATATTTAAAACCAGTCTTAAGACCACAAAATTCGTCGACATGTTTGTCTGCAAAATTGAAGTAGCAACTGCCCCAAAATACACCACATGCACAAACTGGGAGGACCTTAAGACACTACACAACTGTTCTTTTTCCAAGTGAATTAGTTCTCCTCTTAGTCCTGCAATCTATGTCTTTGGATCTGTCCTCGCACCTCTTTGTTTTCAAGTGAATTAGTTCTTTTAATCCTGCAAAAGTAAAACAGAACTACATTCTTAACGCTTGTAAAAGGAAAGCTGATTAACTCTCGCAAAAAATAATAGGTTATCTGATTAAGAACAGATGCTATTTGGTCGGAAAAAGCATTTTAGGCAAAAATTAATCAAGTGAACAACAGCACATAAACCCGCTATCATAATTGATTAGGAGATTTCAGAACTTTGATTCTACCTCCTCTTCCATCAGCTCATAGGTATTGGATCTTGCGTTATTGCCGATACATTCTTATGCCTCGGCTTGCACCATTTACCTATATACCTGTTTGTGCCATCAGGGCCGAGCAAGCCCATGATGTATTGCCCAACTAAACCCAAAATGCATCTATAATATACCTGGTCTGGGAAGTGGTTGTGGAACACAACATTCCTTTTTGATGTTCAGCATCGGTTGAACTTGTTCATCGTCGTCAATAATCACAACTTCAGCAATATCAGAAGCTGGAGTCTTGGCAGCATCATTACATGTACCAGTTGATAAAACCCAGCGACTCAGCCAGATTCCTTAGCCCATGGACTGAAGTTTCTTTCTTTGTTTCAGCAGCTGCCACTGATATTAACCAAGAACACTTATGCTTAGCAACATCCTCACAGGTTTGTCTTTTCAAATTGGGATTTGAAGGTACATGTATGGTTATAGAAATACTTTGAAGCATTGTCATCTATTAAAGAATAGGCATCTCTTACATTACCATTAGCACTGATACTTGTGCAATCTTTAGTACAAATTACAGTCATATGTTAGTGAAATTGTAGTTTTCTATTTTCCTATATGATAATTTTGCAAGCTTCCAGTTCTAGTTAGGGTATACAGGGGATCATCCGAATGTTTTTATTTTTACTTTTTATCTTTTGATGAATTGTTGAGAGAGTGAATTAGACTTGAAATTTAAACCATTCTGAATAACTCATTCACCTCCAGCTTTCTTTGAAGCTTTCTTTAAAGCTTTTAAAGCCTTCAAAAGTTCAGTGCTCTTTACTTCAACAGCAGTCTCCAAATCTTGTGCCTTCGTCTGATACTGACCAAAAAAATCACAAATCAGGAACAACTCATCAAATGAGATTCACTTAAGATCATCTCCTTACAAACTCACCTTCCACTTATTTATCTTTCTTTTAGCCTTCTCTAGTTTTTTACTGTAACGAGCTTCTTTTCATTCAAGAAGAACACATTTATTCATCCATTCCTTGCAACTCCTATGAGAAGTAGGTGTCACAATAAAAACATACTAAAACATGAGAGTGACAACAAAGTATACATAATGGAAATGAAGAGACGATGCTTAAATGTTATTTGAGATAGAAACACTACAGAAAATGTCTAACTGTTTTCTCCATCCATTAAATTAACTGTAGTTCAAGATAAGATTTAAATGGCTGACCTATTAGACATTGCAAAGGAAATGCTTAAAACATCTATTATGTATTTGTTGTTGGCCCCATCACCAAAAGTGGCAAGCTTTGAGACATCCTCTTTATCCAGATCTAGGTCAGATACCCTGGATTGCAACACATAACCATGTTAGGAGCAGAAAAGGAAACATGTAACTGAGAGATGTAACAACCTATACTAGCCCTAGGGCGTTGGCTCAAGGAGCGAAGCATGTGGGGGGTTGAGGGAAGTCATATGTCAAATCTTTCTCAAACAAGATAGTAATAACCATTAGGAAACTACTTGTTGATAATGCAAAAACACTCACAATTTGACCACTGCAAGCTCTTTGTCCAATGCCTTATTTCTTTCTCGCAACCTTAAACTCTCCAAAGTCAATTTATCAAATTCCTACGAAAAATTTAACCAAAACTTCATCAGCTTCTTTTTCTTGTAAATAATGAGCATTATTTTAAAGTATAAGACAGCTATTAGTTTACCTCAGATTTCATTTGAAGCTGCTGTTGCGCAGATGTACGCTGTTTCAAGGCTTCATTCTTTAATGCAACTTCTATCTTTGCCTGCACCTTGGATTGACAAAGCTGAAAGAAGACTTGCAACGTAAAAAACACGCAAGGGCAAAGCAAGCTCTTATAATCTTGCACGAAACAAATCACTGCATATCCAATCCAAAGTTTTGATATTTCTATTACCCCCCCCCCCCCCTCCTCCTCCAAATCCCTTCCTTTCCTTGGCAAAGAAATCAATCATAACCTCACCACCTTCTCTTGATTTTCTTTGCAGTGAAGGGTCTAAGCTTATATCGAAGGTGTCTGTTTTGCTAAAACAGAAAGTATTCCAGAAACTAAAGTTCGAAACTTTCTTATTATTCAGATTGAGGTTCCACCCAAAAGCCAATTGGGCTTTTCGACAACTCTTCGTATCCTCAACCAAATTCAGCACTCGAGTTATACTTGTTTTGCTTAATTCCTTTCTCAAATTCCCAACACTAAAAGAATAAAATCAAAAAAGGACTACCCAAAATATGCAAATCAAAATCAAATAGAAAAACTCTAATTTTTTTGGGGTGTTCCATATTTTCTCAGGAACCAAACCAAGCAAATGTGAATCGAGTAAACTACAATACCTCTTCTTTGACCAATTTGAGCTCCTTCTCCTTGAGCTCCAAATCCGAAGCAAGCCCTTGCGCCACGGCCTCCAACCTCCTCACCTCTTGCCGCAGCGCCTCGGAGTCTTCCTCGCATTGGCCACTCGACCTCTGATTCTGACTCTGACTGAGATTCGGATCCGCCCATTGAAAATAAACCCGGACGACGTCGTTTAGGTTGCAACTCTGTTTGCACACCGGGCAACTGTTCCTCTTCTTGTTCGCATAGTACCCGAACGACTCTTGCAGACTAGGGTTTTGCACACAAAACGCAGCGTTTAAGCACTTGGTTCCAACCAAACATAGAAATTAGAGATAGAAAAATGAAATTGCATAAATACAGAGGAGGGAGAGGGGGAGAGAGAGAGACCAGAGTTCGTGGAAGACATGGCCGCAGATTGAGATGACTTGGAGGTCCTCGACAACGGGATCGAAGTCTTTGCAGCAGAGTGAGCAAATGGTTTTGGTAAAGCCGTCGCCGTCGCCGCCGCAATGCACCATTCTCTATCGACTCCCTACTCTCTAACCTTTCAATGGGGTTTCGGCGTGTATCCCTCTCTCATATTTTCTCAGGAAAATGGAGCGAAATTTAAAAATTAAGCGAATTAAGCGGGATGGTTTTTAATTTTTTAATTTCTTTTTTTCTGACAACGGATCGGGAATAAGATGAAAACAGGGATGATGGTTAAATGTAAAACTACAGAAATGCCCCTCACTCTTTACTTTATTTCAGATTTTTGCAAAATTGCTGTCTTCGTTTTAGCCCTTAGATTTCATCTAATGGTTTTCCAAATTACTTAAATTTCTATTAGTTTAAATTCCCGTATATATTTTTTCCGATTGGCTTATCTATTTTTTTTTAATGTACAACAAGACAAACATTGGTATAAGCCACTCTCATTCCATAATGCAGAGTGAAGAATCGAACTCGAAAGTTCCGTTTTAAGTTATAAAGATAAACGTTCTCAATTATTTAAGCTACAAACCTCTTTAACATTCATTAGTTGTTTCAAACCAAATGGCATCAATAGCACATTTACTCAGCTTAAACGAAAAATGAGTATGCAATAAATAACCTCGGGTTAATCCAATAATTGATTTTTTAGGTATGGCATACCAAAATCCAACACATTTGTTTCATTCTTGCAAACGCTTTGTAAGAAATATGGAGTTTTCCTCTTCTTAGCATAAGAAGAGAGTAACAACGATTGAAATTCAACTAATTAATCGCTTACTTGTGAAAAATGATATGTGACTTCGTGAACTCTCAACTTTGTACAAAGACATTTCTTTCCTCTAAACCTCTATAGTAGCCAATAATATTTCGACCAACAAAAATAGTAGCCAATAATATAAATTATATATAGTACAACAAAATGGCTCTTCATAAACAAGAAGTAGAAAATGTCATTTGCTTCAACCATTTGTTACTCTTCACAATTCACATGGACAGAGCATAACATATGAACTTTTGCTTTCTCTCCTAACTCCCAGCCTCCACAACAGAATCATACATCTCAACATTGCAAACCCGTAAGTAGACGTACCTTTGAATGCTTGATCATCTACCATCCCTCCCAACGAAGTGTTCTATTTGCAAGCACCCTTGGGACTGCACATTGTTTGTCATAGACCCCGACTTGAACCGCTTTGTCCCCGATGCATTCTCCTTATTATCCTGCAAAAGTAAACATATCTACATGCTTAACATTTCTAACAACATCGAATCAATCACTCTTGAGTAGGTACAAATATTTCGAGATGTGAACAAATAGAATGAAAACAAGCACATGAACCCATCACTGTTGAATGATTCAGTGATCTAAGAACTTTGATTCTACCACCTCTTCCGTCAGCTCCTACATCAATCAAATTACTAGAATATGCACTTGGGTTTTGCCTTGATTCTGATCCCTTATTCAGATTCCGCTTGCACCATTTACCTAAAAACCTGTTTGTTCCATCATTCCCAAGCAAGCCACCAGAAAAACATACATCCCCTGTATTTTGAAGAGAAATAACAAAAACAAAATTAAATCTTCATCTACTGCATCTTCAGAAAAATGTTACTTATTTCATGATATATTGCTCAATAAACTCAAAAAAACTGCATCAATACATGTTCCGGGAAATGGTTGTGGGATGGGAGACTCCTTTATGATGTTAAACATGGGTTGATCTTATTCAACATCATCAAGAATCACATCATCGGCAGGAGGAGTCCTGGCGGTATCGTTACAAGTAGGAGTTTCTTTCCTAGTATCAGAAACTGCATCTGACGTCAACCGAGTGTATTTCTGGTTAATAGCATCCTCATAGGTTGGTTCTTTCAATTTGGGATTTGAAAGTCAATGCTTAGCTGTAGAAAGTTTTGAAGCATCTTTATCTCCTAAAGAGTAGGCATCTCTTACTTTATAATGAATAATTGTGCTTGTACCATCTTTAGTACAGCTTAAATCCATATGGTCAGTGAAGTTTTAGTTTTCTGTTTTCCTATGACACAGTAGATCATTTTCCAATTTTTGAATTCTATCCAACTTATGAATGGGAGCATACAAATGTTTTCTTTGAACTTCTGATGAATTGTTGATAGACACTGAATTAGTGTGCTTGTACTTAAGCTTTCTTTATGTTGACTTGTATAATATTTTCCCGATAATTTTGGGATTCCTATAATATTCGGTTTCCTAGTTTAGATTGTAGATTGATTGTAATTATTCTTTCCTTATTGTAGTAGGATTGTACATGATTATATATACCTCAAAATGAGAATAATACAATTAACACATTCAAAGCATTCTCTTCTTGGCACCAAAGCCATGTCGTAAAAAAAGGAAAGAAATTTTCGAACCCTAACAGGTTTTGTTACTGTGTCGTGTCCAACACCACCGTGGTGCCTCTGACGAACCGCGAGCAACGTGAAGTTGTTGCTATGTCCAAATCTTCTACCCCGAATTCATGTGAGTAACGTGTGTTGTTGCTACCCTGAGTAACTTTGTCGCTGCACAGGTTTCCTATTCTTCGTGAAAGATGTCTACCGAGAACAACCAAATCGTTTCTACTACCGCTCCGATCATGGATAATTTAAACTTCAACATTGAGATGGTTTTGGATAAGAAGAACTATGATTTATGGGCTCTTCTTATTCAAATTCATATTGCTGGAAGGAAGAAGATGAGATATCTTCGTGGGTCCATTAAAGCCCCTGCAGATGATGATCCCAAATATGATGATTCATTTTCTGAAGATTAAAGAATTAAGAGTTGGCTCTTGTCGGTAATGAAGCCGAAGATCATGAAATGTTATATTCGATTGTCAACTTCTAAAGAGATCTGGGATGCTCTTAAGACTGCTTATTTTGATGAGAATGATGAGGCTAGAATTTATTCATTAAATCAGAAAGCTTCACATCTCAGAAGAATATGCGACCTTTGGCTAGTTACTTTAGATAATTGACAAAGATTTTTTAGGAATTATACCACTTTAACAAAGTGGCCATGGCATGTGAAAAAGATGTTCTGATTTTCCAGAAGACAACCGAGCGACAAAGGTTATATTTGTTTCTTGGTGGACTTGATGATGGGTTTGATCAGGTTCGTGGAGAAATATTGTGCAAAGACCCACCACTTGGACTTTAGACTGCATATGTGTATGTCCATCATGAAGCAGATCGCAAGGAAGTTATGAAGATGAAGGGCCAAGGATAAAAACCAGTTGCAATGGTAGCCAAGGCCCGCGGCCCCTCTAACCGCACCGACCGAGATGGGGTCTGAGAATAAAAATGGACAGCCAAGAACCAGCTAACCCATCTTGATTATCCTCAGGGTAATTGTCCTCATTGTGGTATAACAGGACATTCCAAAAGCAGATACTTTGAGATGATTGGGTATCTCGAGAACTGGGATAAGACATATGACCCTCGCTTCAACAAACCTCGAGCTTTCGTTGCAGAGACCAAGGATGATTCAGTAGATGTAGCAAGGAAAACATCAGCTTTAATTGCCGCGGCAGGTACTGATGGTAAGGCACTTAATGTCTCCACTTCTGTTATGAATAATACATGGATAATTGATTCTGGAGCTACTAAATATATGACTTGTGATTCTAAATAGGTTTCCTCACTAAAAAAACTCAACCCACACCGAGGTTAATGTGGCTAAAGGTGATGATGCCCCAATCCTTGGGGAAGGCACGGTTTCCTTTTTTGATACCATGAAACTTGATACTGTTCTTGTGGTTCCCTCATTGAATTATAATTTATTATCGGTAACCGTTGCTTTACATTGTTTGGTGGTATTTTGGCCTTATTTTTGTGTATTTAAGGACATCTGGACGCGTAAGATGATTGGTTATGGTATTAGATGAGGGAAGCTGTACTACCTCGAGTTGAATTCCAGTAGCTCGGGATTGCTCACTCAAGCACTGTCAATGAATGAGACTCCAGTCGAGAATAATAAAGGGTCCGATGTGTGGATGTGGTACCGTCGTCTTGGCCATGCTTCGTTTGGTTATTTGCATAAATTATTTCCTAGTTTGTTTGTGAAAAACGATGTTTCTCAGTTTAAGTGTCATGTGTGTGAAATGGCTAAGAGCCATCGAACTTTTTTCCTCCAAGTTTAAATAAGAGTTTTGTTCCTTTTATGATTGTGCACTTGGATATTTAGGGCCCTTCCAAAATTGCCTCTCTTGGTGGAGCTCATTGGGTTGTCACATTTATTGATGATTGTATGAGAATGACTTGGGTTACTTTGCTAAAATTGAAAAGTGATGTGAGTATGGTCTTTCAAAAATTTCACAAAATGGTTTCGATACAATACAATATGAAAATTCAGGTGGTTCGAAATGATAATGGAGGCGAGTATGTTAATACTGAACTTCGTTTTTTCTTTGATAAGCATGCTATTGTTCATCAGACTACATGTCCGTATACTCCTCAACAAAATGGGGTGGCTGAATGAAAGAATCGACACTTGTTACAAATGGTTTGTGCTTCTTTTATTGAGGCACGTCTTCCCTTACATTATTGGGGTAAGGCCCTCACGTCGGCTGCCTATCTTATTAATCGGCTTCCTTCTTATACCCTCAAGTTCAGACACCATTTCAGATTTTTATGTCTCTGCTCAGCTGCCTACCAGCCCCTAACCTTTCTTGTGAAATTCCATTCCCGGATTTCACTGTTATAATATACGTAATTGTATTGTTGAGATTTTTATTTTTAGGGAATTTATATTAATTTATTTGAATTTAGATTTTAATTACACTAGTTACGAAGAGTGAAGTTTCGAAACTAATTATTTAAAATTTGTAGATCGTTCGACGTAAGAATTTATATTTTCGAATAGAGCTCGATCTCATGAACGCGTAGTGCAAACTGTTCGTAAAACGGAGCTATAACGAATGAGTTATTAACGTTTAAAGTTAGTGATATTTCGGTAATTTTACCTCAATCAAAAAGGCTCTAGATTTTTTGGAGCACTGAGATTATGCCACGTGTGTGGCTAGATAAAAAGAAAAGAAGAGAAAGGACGAGATAGACGGACATGATGGGAAGGAAAGGAGAGAGGATTGCCCAATGAGGAATAAAGAAA